TACAACCCAGTGCCCCCTAGTCCCTCCCCAGTGCCCCCCAGTCCCTCCCAGTACTACTCACAAGTACTCCAGCAGCACCAGCCCGGCGAAGGCCCCATCCCCGATGGTCCCCAGGCGCCCGGCAGTGACCAACCTGCGGGGACACACCACTGCCACCCCCGGGGACGCGGGGACACCCCAGGGATGCGCTGGGGACACCCCACTGCCACCCCTGTGGACACCCTGGAGACTCTCAGGGGACTTTGGGGACACTTCAGGGACCCTGGGGACCACCTGGGGAGCTCGGGAACACCATGCTGCCACTGCCAGGGACACCCGAGGGACATTCCGTGGACCCTGGGGACACTTTGGGGACCCTGGGGACAACCTGGTGACCTTGGAGATACCCTGGGGACATCCTGAGGACACCCTGTGGCACCTTGGGGACCTTGGGGTCACCCTGGGGACAGCCCGGGGACCTTGGGGATGCCCTCCTGCCACTCCCAGGGACACCCTGGGGACACTCAGAGGACCTTGGGGACCTTAAGGACACCCTTGGAGCCACCTTGGGGACACCATGGGGGCCCTGGGGACACCATGGGGATGCAGCATGGGCCTTGGGGTTGCCATGGGGACCTTGGGGACTTCAAAAGGACCTTGGGGACACCTTGGGGACACCGGAGATATCTTGGGGACAGTATGGGGACCTTGGGGACACCGGGGACACTATGTGGACAGCAGGATGCCCTTGGGAACAGCATGGGGACCTTGGGGCCACCATGAGGACCTCAGGGACACGCTGGGGACACGTTTGGGATGGCGTGGGGGCCTTGGGGACACCACGGGGACACCACAGGGACCTTGGGGACACTGAGGGGACACCGATGGGACACTGTGGGGACCTTGGGGACGCGTCGGGGGCAGCGTGGGGACCTTACAGCAGCTGCAGGGCCGGGGTGTCACGGAAGCTGCCCTCGCCCAGGACATCGATGTGCCACCGCACCAGGGACCTGCGCAAACGGGGGCAAACTGGGGGAAACGGGCGTCAAACTGGGCTAAACTGGGACAGAAGAGTCCTGAACCGGTCTAAACTGGGACAAACTGGGACACGCCAGTCCTGAACTGGGCTAAACTGGGACAAACTCGACCAAACCAGGACCACACTGGGCCAAATCAGCCCTGAACTGGGCTAAACTGGGAGAAACCGGAGCTAAACTGGGCTGAACTGGGCCAAACCAGCGCCAGACTGGGACAAACTGGGCCAAACCAATCCCAGACTGGGCCAAACCAGTCCTGTACTGGGAGTAACCAGGGCTAAACTGGGCCGAACCGGACCGAACCTGGACCAAACTGGGCCAAACTGATCCTGAGCTGGCCTAAACTGGGAGGAACTGGGGGAAAACTGGGCTAAACTGGGCCAATGCAGTCCCAAACTGGTCTAAACTGAGATACACCAGGGCTAAACTGGGCCAAACCGGGCTAAACCAGTACTGAACTGGGAGAAACTG